GTTTCTGTACCCATTTGTCCTCAACCCATTTACCTTCCAGAGTTCTCATTTTCCCTTGACCTTAGGCCTTCAAAAAAAAAAAAAAAACAACAACAACAAAAAAACAAAACTATCTTGTTATCATTTTGATAATTTTAAAATGTTTCTTTTAAGTATTTCAGTTGTTTTCATCAAGATTATTGATTTAATACACAGGAAACTTCACTTCAAATTCTCACTCTGTTATTTTGTAGCTGCGTGACTTTGGACAAGTTATTTAACCTCCATGTAACTCAGTTTTTTCATGCATAAAATGGGGCTAATAATACTACCTACATTACAAGATTACATGTAAAGAATAGTGCCAGCATATAAAAAGTATTTGATCAATGTTAACTGTTATTAGTATTGTCATACCACTTATTTATTTCCTTTAGGCCACTTATCACTTTCAAAAATTGTCATATTTATTTTGATTGTTGTTTTCTTTTCTAGTAGAACATAAGCTTCATATTTTCATATTTACCACTATAAAATTGAATACTATTATTTTAAATGAATTAATAAGTGTATTCAAGTTTTCACTATAAAAACATCAGCTTTGGGCCTGGCACGGTGGCTCACGCCTGTAATTCCAACACTTTGGGAGGCCAAGGTGGGCAGATCACAAGGTCAGGAGTTTGAGACCGACCTGGCCAATGTGGTGAAACCCTGTCTGTACTAAAAATAAAAAAATTAGCCAGGCGTGGTAGCGTATAGTACTAGCTACTCAGGAGGCTGAGGCAGGAGAATCGCTTGAACCCAGGAGGCGGAACTTGCAGTGAGCTGAGATTGTGCCACTGCACTCCAGCCTGGGCGACAGAGCAAGACTCTGTCTCAAAAAAAAAAAAAAAAAAATCAGCTTTGGCTCAATCTCAATAACTCACAAATTGAAAATAGGCTAGGCTGATTTATTGTGAAAAAGTGAACAATCTAAATTCTATTCTATAGCATATTCTTTTTTAAAAGAGTAAACTAAAAACCCACCTTAATCCAAGAAAAGTGAAATAACAATTAGACCATATTTTACAATTTAATTTTCCAAAATCACTTGGATATACAGCACATTATTTCTGTGTTCGAACAAACATGCCCCTTTTCAAATTTTAAACAAGATACCTTAGTTCGAGTATCTTTTAAAATTTGCATATGTACTTCTTTGCCAAATATCTTAGTCTTTCATCGTTTATCATAATTCTAGAGACTCTTTCTTCCATGGAGTCATTACTCCATTTACAGGGGTTCAGGGATGTTCAGCACGTAATTTCTCACATTATGACCTTTTGATGAAATTGCTGCATTATGCATTCTATTCAGTGCCAGTGAAAGGAATGAACTGTAAACATGTTTGATTGTTAATGCCTCATTGTGGATAGAGATACCATTTGGTTTATCATTTGGTAGCTAAAAACTTCCCTATTACTTCTGTCTTCTCTCAACTCAGAATCTCAGAAGAATATGGATCATATTAGACATGCTATTGAGTTTGTCTTAAGAAATGCTCTCGGCCGGGTGCGGTGGCTCACGTCTGTAATCCCAGCACTTTTGGAGGCCAAGGCGGGCAGATCATGAGGTCAGGAGATCGAGACCAGCCTGGCTAACACGGTGAAACCCCATCTCTACTAAAAATACAGAAAATTAGCCGGGCTTGGTGGCAGGCACCAGCTACTTGGGAGGCTGAGGCAGGAGAATGGCATGAACCCAGGAGGCAGAGCTTGCAGTGAGCCAAGATTGCGCCACTGCACTCCAGCCTGGGCGACAGAGTGAGACCTGTCTCAAAAAACAAAAAAAAAGCAAACAAACAAAAAAAAAGAAATGCTCTCACTCTCTGACTCAGACTTGACATCTCTCTTTGGTTCTCCATGAGGAGATTTGTGATTTCCTCTGCAAGGAGAGCCCAGGAAACTCCTTCTTCCAGTAAGGTTACCTGAAGCTCTCTTTAGGTGCTTTCCAATAGGCAAACATTTTATTGCCTTCAAAGGTTTTTTTAGTTAGTAGAGTGAGTCAATCTTAGTACAATTTTTTATATTCTTTCTGGTCACAGAACATATAGGCCGTTGCAAAGAGAAATCTAAATGTTAATACATATTTGTATAGTATGCCCAGCTTTATGTAATATATTTCACCCCAAAAGTTTTATGGCTATTAGATCTTTATAAATTAAATTATAATCAAGTATACTAAGGGGTCTTTGTATTTAAAAATAAACCTGAGATTATTTTTAGAAATCAGAGTGAAGAGGAGGAGCTGGAGGAGATAAAGTTCCATAGGTAGAGAGGACCAAATTGTGAAGATAGTTGTATGAAATAATAAGTTACATACTGAGTATTGTCTGACCAGCACTGTTTTAATTCAGGGCCCTGCTGGGGGTACTTTGTGAGTTATCTTTTCATCCCTCATGCCATCAATGTATGATAATGTATGCATTCATCCATAAAAGGTAAATGAAATTGTGTCATTGAGAAATGAAACACAAATCTCAATTTCCTTTAGGGCAATGTAGTCTTAAAGTCTTGAGTGAAAGAATGGAACTAGAAAAAAATGTTCTTTAAGACTAGCTGTGTCTAAGTAAGAAGGTTATGAAGAAGATATGGGGCCAGGCATGGTGGCTCACACCAGTAATCCCAGCAGTTTGGGAAGCCAATGAGGGAGGATTGCTTGAGGCCAGGAGTTTGAGACCAGCCTGGGCAATATAGCGAGATGCCTCATCTCTCTCTATATATATATATTTTTTTTTCTTTTTTTTTTTCTTTTTTTTGCTGAGCATAGTGGCACACACCTTTAGTCCTAGCTACTTGAGAGGCTAAGGTGGGAGGATTGCTTGAGTCCAACAGTTTGAGCCTGCAGTTAGTTATGATTGCACCACTTCACTCAACCTCTGGACAACAGAGTGAGACTCTGTCTCAAAATAAAAAAAGCATTAAAAAAAGAAGATAAAGGAGAGCAAAGTACAGATGATGCTGGACTTTACTATTGTCATGCTTTAAATGTCCCCTCCAAAACTCATGTTGAAACTTAATCCCCAGTGTGAAAGTATTGAGAAGTGGGGCCTTGAAGAGGTGGATCATGGGAGTCTGCCCTCATGAATGGATGAATGGATTCATGGGTTATCATAAGAGGGGAACTGGTAATTTCATAAAAGGAAAAAAGAAAGACCCAAGCTAGCACATAACGATGCTTGGTCCCCTCATTATGCAATGCCCTGTGCCACCTGGGGACTCTTCTTCAGCAAGAAGTCCCTCACCAGATGTGGCTCCTTGACCTTGGACTTCTTAGCCTCTAAAACTGTAACAAATAGATTCCTTTTCTTTATAATATAGTTACTTAGTTTCAGGCATTCATTATAAGCAACAGAATATGAACTAAGAGATGTATTAAAGCATGTTTTTCTCATTGGTTATAGAGTGTCATCAACTGGCTTGCAGTAAACGAGTGATGTGATAAGATTTTGTTTTATTACAATAACTCCAAGAGCCACTTGGGGGGTAAGTTAGAAGGAAAAGTGACTAGAGACACAAAGTCTTGATGTGGAGTCATTGCAGTAGTTCAGGCAAGGAAAACAAGAGCCTAATATAGTGGAGGAGATGCAGAGTCATTTGGGAGGCTGAGTTGACAGGACTTGCATTTTAGTGGCACTCACAGGTTTCTGAATTGCACTATTGAGGGACTGTTATGCCAGTTACTAAAATAGGGAATGTAGGATGAAGGGTAACTTGGTGGCAGATGAAGAGGAATGGATTTAATGAGTAAGGTATTGAGTTCATCTAGAGCATCTTGGAGGAGGAATCTGTGAGTATCCATGTGGAGTTGTTCAGTATACATATCAGATACACAAGTCTGGGACTCAGAAGAAAGAACAGGACAGAATTAAAGGTCTGACCTGCACCTACACTGGGCACGGAGGTATAGGTCAAAGCCATGCATGAGATGGATGAAATGACTTGGGAAGATCAGTGAAGTGAAAAGAGAAGAGGAGTAAATGTAGAACCAGGGGAACCTGAAAAGGAAGGAATGGTTAGAGGAAAAGAAAGATAAGCAGGAGAAGGTGTGTGTTTAGAGGCCTAAGGAGGAAAAATGCCAAAGGAGAAGACTATTTCAGGAAAGAGAAATGTCAATAATATCAGAAGGTCCAGGGAAGTCTAGCATAATTGGTTTCTGGAAGCTTTTCACAGGATTGAACAGATACAAGGTCATTGTTGACTCTGCCAGAGTACTAGAGAAGTGAATTGAAAGTGCGATTCAAATTTTCTCCCCCTTGCCAGCCCTTATCCTCACCTGCCTGGGCCTCCAGACACTCTGACTCACCCCACCCTGCCTTTTGCGTTGTCTGGGGTGGGTTCCTTAGCACTAAAGTTCAGGGCAGAATTTCCTCCTCAAAGCAGAAAAAGAGATGCATGTGTGGGAAACAGAGAAGGGAATCAGATTATAGTCACTTAAGTAAAGCAAGATTTCAAGCCGTAGGGAAGTCAAGTCTCAAGGGGTCTAAGCTGGAGCTGAAGATTAAGGGTACAAGGTGGGAACAGAAGGTTTCAAGGAAAGCAAGTTGCAACACAGAAAGAGAAGTTGGGGAATTTCAGAGAGCTCCAGTGGGGTTTTCCCAGTTTGCCTTCAAGGTGTTATAGGTGGGTCCAGCTGTCCAGAAGCAGGGCAGTAAAGTGAAGAAGAGGTGACTGTAAATGTAGAACAACTTTTGAGAAGTTTATCCATGAAAGAAAGAAAAAAGTGAGGGTTTGTATACATTGGACTTTTGTAAAATAAAGCATATACAACGATAATTTGCTTCCTAAATTTAGGAATTTGAAATGCTGGAATCTGGGATAGTGGTGACGTTAAGATAATGAATATAATTTAGAAATATATTTATTCTTCAAAAATATCTGTAGTTAATGGGGCTGATTGCCAGAAAATAGACTTTAGCCTAAATGATGATTAACAACAATAATTTTTTTTTGTCTGTCTTATTTTCATTTTTATTTCTACAGGGAAGAAAGCTAATGGAACTCGAGAGCAGGTGAAATGGAAGGCTATGTGCAAGTTCTAAGAGAATAAAATTTGTTTTCTAATGTTGCCTCTTTATCTAGATTGTTTTTTCATAACCTGATTAAAAATCTCTGTCCTTTTCACCTTCTCCCCTGCCTGAAGTCATTTCTGCCATGTATATGAGTTAACGATTTTTGGTGTAGTCACCTTTTCAATTGATCTGTGTTGTTTACCAAGTGTCACATCAGTTTCAACTGTGCTGCCTCCCGGAGTTCTGCTAACTTGTGAGGACAAACAATCCTCTCCACCTGGCAGGCAGCAGATGAGCAGACCCCGCTCAGTTCTGATTGATTGAATCCTCTGGGTCTGATTAGTCCAGATGAGTCAGAAGGCATGTCCCAAGCATGGGCTATGTTTATTGTTTGTTATTGTTCTAAGTCTTAAACAACTGGAAAGATAACAAAGTTTCCTTGAAAACACATCTTTTCCTAGAAAGTGGCTGAAAATACTTGCACAGGTTTGTTGTCTAGTGGTGGCAGTGATGTGTATCAGTAAGATCTCTTTAAATTAAAAGTTACCCGATTAAATAGATTTAAATAAAAAAGGGAATTAGTCGGTTCTCATAACTGAAAGTCTGGGTGAGAGTTCAGGCTCACATGAACTTGAGTGCTCAAATGCTGTCATTACAAATCTGTCTCTCCCCTGGGGACTACTAGATAGGGGAGCGAAGAAACAGGGGCAAGAGTTGAAAACCTACCTATTGAGTACTCTGCTCACTACCTGGGTGACAATCATTTGTATCCCAAACCTCAGCATCATACAATATACTCATGTAACAAATCTACACATGTACCCCCTGAATCTAAAACAAAAGCTGAATATATATTTTAAATCTTTCTCTGCCTCTCAGCTCTGCTGTCTTCTGTGCTGCCTTCATTCTTAGGCTCTAACCAAGTCATGAGAAAAGTGTCAGCCAGCAGCTCCAGGTTTATAACGTATCAGTTTCTGAACTCCAGAATGTAGTGAGCACCTCTTTACCAGTGGTTCTGGAAGATACATCGGAGCTAAATTTTACTTACAAGATGGTTGAGGAAGGTGTCCACACCTCAAATAATCACCAAGTCCAAGGACTGGACTGGACTGGTTGACCAGGTTTATCTCACATACCTGCTCCTGGAAATGGGGGTGACTCCGGGGGTCAACCATGGAAACAGCAATGAGAAGTATGCTGCATTCCTGTAGTAGGTCAGAGGATTTCATTAGGGTTCAGCTCAAGTTCCATGTTCTCACCAAGCCTTTCACATTCAGGGAAGGTAGGTCCCTTTTACCTAACAGTAGAACCTATTCTTAAAAAGAGGAGAGAAGCTATAACTGATGTGAGGAAAGCAGCCCTGGAACAGAAAAACTAAAGAGAGTAGGAAAAAAACAAGGAATACAATGAGAAAGGAAACAAAGAGTTAAAAAGAGACACAGAGAGAAAGACAGAAAGATTAAAAATAAACAGAAACTGTAAGCAAACATAAGGATCATTAAACAGCTATAAAGCTAATCACAGCATTTGCCTAGACAAAGATTACAATTCCAAGAGAAAGCAATCTTCTTTGGCGTAAGCCCCCTAGGAAGAAAATGTTGGCCTGTTCTGGCTCATCCCCAAGGTATGTGTCTCTCTTGTCTTTTCCACTCTCTGTCTTCCATCCCTTCTGTTCTCTTTTTAACTGCTCACATCTGCACTGACTGCTTCTTCTTTACATAAGTAGCTACTACCTTCCACCTTCTCTTGGCTTCTTTTGCTTCACTTCTGCACAGCAAAATTTTATTTCACAATTCTCCAAGGGAAGATGGAAACGAAAAAGATGAAGATGACACTCTACCAATCTCCTGGCATAGTTATTTGATGTGCCAGAACTAAGACAGACCACATAATTTTTAGGGTCCCTTATTGAGAACTTATTAAGAATATTATGATAGGCCGGGTGCAGTGGCTCACACCTGTAATCCCAGCACCTTGGGGGGCTGAGGCGGGCGAATCACTCGAACTCAGGAGTTTGAGACCAGCCTGGCCAACATGGTGAAACCCCATCTCTACTAAAAATGCAAAAAATTAGCCAGGCGTGGTGGTGCATGCCTGTAGTCCCAGCTACTCGGGAGCCTGAGACAGGAGACTCACTTGAACCAGGGAGGTGGAGGCTGCAATGAGCTGAGATTGTGGCGCCTCACTCCAGCCTGGGTGACAGAGCGAGACTCCATATAAAAGAAGGAGAAGGAGGAGGAGGAGGAGAAGGAGGAGGAGGAGGAGAAATGTCATGATAGCAGAGCATTAAACTAACAACAGAGATTTTCTGGGAGTTGGATCTGTGCAACTGCACAAGATGCACAGCCATGAAGCTAACACTGGACAGAGTTCTTGGTTACCTTCCCAACTGCTGTCCTCAGATATTCCCTCTCCTTCATATGGCCTCTTTTTAGAGGAGGCTAGTCCCATCCACAGTGCCAATAATATATTCCCATTCCCTTTGTCTGCAACTGGCTTATTCACAAACACATGATACAGCTCTGGTCAATGGTATTTCATTTCTTCTTTGATGAAAACAGACACATGGGAAAAAGCAGTTCCTTTTTCGCTAGACATTGTGCAATAAGGCCTAACACCGCTTCGGGCATCTTGCTAAATGACAGACACTTTCCCAAAGACAGCAAAGTAGAAAGAGAAGACATCCATCAATTAGTTGTTGAATTAACTAGCCATGAAGTCATTCCCACTTAGACGTCTTGGTATGTGAAATAGATTTTTTCTTATTGCTTCAGTCAATTGAGTTGGGGTTTTCTGCTTACAGCCAAGAGCAGTTTAATTAATGTATCTTAGTAATCAAAGAAATTATTATATAAAAGTAAATTCTTACATAAAAACAGGAACAGGAAGGAGAAGGACAGTAATGTAAATTGTGGGGCAATATAGGAGGACCAGGCTTAGTGAAATTATTTTTTCCTACTGAAGAGGTTCATCTCAGACAGTCCACTTTCCCTCTCCCTCTTGTGAGATGTTAAAGCAGATGCATGGAAAGTTTAGAAAAAGGAGACAAAGTAACAAAACATAAAATGAAATGCAAACCCAGATTTCAGAAACACGTCTGATAATAGAAACTTTGGCTTACAAATAAGATTTCCTGATGGTAATGTGTGAGTAAGCGTTACCAACCCCGAAGTAGAAACAACAAGCCCTTGAATGTGCTTTTTTGGGTCATCTTTGAAATTTCTGTAGTAAGTGACTTATATCTACTTTCAAGAACTTAGCAAAATAGAGATAAACTAAAGGGAAATCTTTCTTGAGATACTGCCAAACAAATATATTCTAAGGCTATTTGTTACAGTGAGAACTCTGTCTATTGTAAGTAATTGGAAAACTAACTGAAACTGACGTAAGCTTACATAATTAGGGACTCCAAGGTAGACTGGATTCTGGGCCAGCTGGATCCAGGCTCTAAGTAATTAAGGCTCTTTCTTTTTCTCGTCTCTTAACTCTGCCCATCCTTGAAAGATACAATACACTGATACAATACTCCTCACATGCCCTGTCCTGGCATCAGGAGTAGAGGCTCACCTACCCCAGCCACCTAGACTAAGATGGAAGAGAATGTGAGTTTTGTCTCAGGAAGGGGAAAAGGATCCTGGGCAGGTACAAACAACAATAATTATACATTACCTTACAAAAAAGGTACATTATCTTACAATTATTGTGCAATGAACTAGTGTTGAAATTGTAGCTTATTAATAGCAAGTGCTTCAGGGAAAGGCTAATGCTAGTCAAAAGTCGAAGAATACTAAATCCAACATGAATTTATTTCAAATTCACACGTGCCTAAACCTCAAATGTAAATTGAAAAGGGAATGGAATTGAAGCTAGAGACATCATGTATATTACCAAATCAAAATGACAGATTAGAGATAACAAAGCAAGATCCCTGAGTGAAACTATCTATTACATTCCATCAAAGTGGCAATTAAAAAGCCCAGATGTAAAGTCACATAACTTTGATTAGGTTCATACCAACATGTCTGATTGCTCTTCAGAAAAGACAATTTAATTAGGGAGTTGACGTCATATATTAGAAAGCAACGCCATGTTTCATTCTTTCTTCTAAATGGTTTGTATTAAAATCCTCTAGTCACCAGATACTGAACATTCTGACTTACTGGCAAAATTCCAAATAGGAGTTCTGGCAAAATGGAAAGCATACTTCCAATTTCTAACTGCACCTTGTTTTTTGAGATAGAGTCTCACTCTGTCACCCAGGCTGGAGTGCAGTGGCACGATCTCGGCTCACTGCAACCTCCGCCTCCTGGGTTCAAGCGATTCTCCTGCTTCAGCCTCCTGAGTAGCTGTGATTACAGGCGCGCGCAACGAGGCCCGGCTAATTTTTTAATGTATTTTTAGTAGAGATGGGGTTTCACCATGTTGGCCAGGCTGATCTCGAACTCCTGACTTCAGGTGATCCACCTGCCTTGGCCTTCCAAAATGTTGAGATTACAGGCATAAGCCACCATGCCTCGCCTGCTTTTTATTTAATATCGTTTTAGGGAGTCACCTTTTTAAGAACCAGATCTTCAATCTGTCTGAATTTGAGATCTCCTCATTTTCATTGGCACAAGGACAAAGACATTTGTTTCTTTTCCCAAAATAACAAGACATCCTTTATTTGAAATAGAGGTAACTAGAAAACATTGCAGTAATTTATAGATACCATGTAATTGTAAGACACCATGTTATTCCAAAGGCTGAAGAAAAATTAGCTATTTAAGAAGTAGTTTATCTGAATCAAAATTACGGCATTGGTTTGCAAGGAGTTTTCTTGCATCTTACACAAACCAAACTCCTTTTTAAGTTATCACCTGATGAATTGTGTGACGTTAGTCAGTGCTGATGGGAAGCCATGGGATGGGAGTGAAGGCCTTGACCAAATGAAGAGATATCTAAAAAAAAAAAAAAAAAAAAACCCAGTTCACTCAATATCATCTTTTTATATCTTATTAAGCAAGCAGCACCCATCATCACAATATACAATAATAATATGTTACTAAGAGAAAAAAAGGTATCTGAAACTAAAATGGACTGTGGACAGTTTTTCCTTAGAAGGAAGAGGTGTCATAATTCATTTCAGTGGGGA